GGCTGCCAGTCCGCCCGCCTTGCTGCTACAAGCCAAGGAGGCTTAGTGCAGGATGGGTGGCTTTGCCACTGCCGTGGTTACCCTCAGGAAGGAGTGCACCTGCAGGCTTTTGATAAGAGCAGGCACTGCGGGCCTCACGGCCCCCCACCCCACAGACAATGTGTGGGCTGAGCTCCTGGGCTTCTGGGGGCCAGTGTAGCCGGGCCTCATGGGCTCCCAGTTCCCAACGCAGGTCTGCGGGGCGCACAGATGGTAAACACAAGCCCAAACCTGTCCTGAATTTCAAATGGAAACAAAGGGCCTTTGAAGCCGGGGGTGGTAAACACACGGGATGTCAGGATGCTCTTGTCACAGCCGTTTTGCTGTCACCAGAGAGGGATCGGGCAGGTCATCCGGAGGCAGGCAGGCTGGGGGAGCGTGTGTGTGTGTGTGTGTGTGTGTGTGTGTGTGTGTGTGTGTGTGTGTAGGGAGTGAAAGCTGCCATCTCGCAGTGTCAGCCCTCCCAGTCCCCCTCCTCCTCACCCATCTTGTCCTCTTTTCCCCAGCATGCCTGTCAGCTTGTTTGGTTTTTAGTTTCATTGTCTTTTTTTTAATCCTTGGTTTTATTCAACCAAGGGAACCTTTTCATTTTTATGTAAAAGTATATTAAATGTTATGCCGAAATGCCCGTATTGGTCAGATATGGGCTTTCTTGAGACCCAGCTGAATGGTGGGTGTTACTGCAGCACCCCAAGAATTATGCCGGGTCCTCGGGGTCCCCAGGATCTTCCTCCTCAGAACAGACTGGGGAGAAGGGACAGGAAATCGCAGAGGGTGATGTCCCTAGTGACAGCTGCATGCTGGCCACCTGTGTGAAAAAGCACAGGGGCCCAGTGACCTTGGGAGGAGTTCTGACGGCATCATAGATTACGACGGCTGCTAATCATAAGATTAGTGGTTCAAACCCACTAGCATCTCCGAAAGAGAAAGATGAGGCTTTCTACTCCTGTGAAGAATCACAGCCTCAGTAGCCCTGTGAAGGGTTGCTAGGAGACTGAATTGACTGGGTTTGGTGGCCTTGGGAAGATCCCTGGCCTGGAGATGTTCCTTTCCAGCCCAGAGGCAACTCCCTGGGCAGAGGGAGGGCTGACAGAGTCTTTGGGGAGCTGCCCGGGGCACTTGTTCCTGCCCTTTAGAAAGCTAGCCCTGCCCCTTTCTTTAAAGCTGGGCATTGCAGGTCACTGATCCAGGGAGCACTGTCCCCCAGGCAAAGGAAGCCTGCCTTTGCTCTCCTCACCAACAACCATTTTCATTCTTAGGAGTCCAGCCACCTCCTCTGTTCCATGTATATCATGGTAGGTGCAGCAGGGACACCCAAGAACCCAGAGAGATCCTCCTCTCCAATGCCCGCCACAGGCTTCTGACAGACAGCCAACAGGCACCCTCCTCCTTGCCGCCCTCTGCTGGCTGAGCCGCCCCACTGCGGGCTGGAGCAAGAGGACAGAGGAAAGGCCATGGAAGGTGGGGGGGTGACAGTGGGTGGCAGCATGGTCACAGGGGCCCCGGAGGCTGCCGCCCAGGAACCGTGAGGAGAAAGACGAAGCTCGAGGGACTATGGCCGCCATGCTGACGCCACCTGCCACACGTCCCCAGCGGCCCTGACAATGTCTCGGACTTGACTCTGGATGGGAAGTTTTTCAGAATTTTGCCACGTACGGTTTCACCCACTCGGTGACCCTTCTACAGATGAGGAAAGAGAGACCGCAGTCCCGAGCGATTGTGATAGCCGGAGGAGGATGGCTAGTCAGTGATGGCATTACGTCTCCCACCCTGCTTCTCATGCTCTCCTTTTGGGACCAGTGTGGGGACCTTGGGGGCTTTGCTTAAAGAGGTGATTGGAATCCTAAGTGGCAAGTCAGGGGAAGCAGAGTCGGAAGCCAAGATTCGGGGGGCTGTGCACACCGCACACACCTGTCTTGTCCCCTGGTGCACAGGAGCTGCAATACCGAAGGAGGCCACTGAGCGGCACCTTTGGGCCGTGCACTCGGCTCCAGCGACCTCTCTGGGGAACAGTCACAGGAAAGCATGCTTAACCTTTGAACAAAACAAGCACATCTCACTTTGGGTGAAATTCCATGACAGGCTGAACGCCCTTTCCCCCACAGCGAGGTTGAGCTGTGCTTCTCCCCCCCCCCCTTACTCCCCTCTCCCCCCCCCTTGATTCTCAAGGCTCTGAGACCTCACCACCCAGGGACTGCCTGCCCCCCTCACACAGGGCAAAGGATGTACCACCCAGACCTGGGTCCCTGCTGAGAACACCCCCACCCCCCACCCAGGATGGCCTTAGGAGCCACGCTCAGGTCCTGGGGTGCTGT